AATTTTAAATTCTCTTTTTGTTCATTTTTGAATGGGTTGGCGAAGTTACATTTTTCATCACAGAAGCACAGAAGGAAGAAAAAGGTTGCTTTTTTATATAAAGAAAGAAGGAGTAACTGAGTAACTCATACGGTCAATTCTCAGAGCACTTAGCACAGTGAAACTGTATCTTGCCTTCAAGTATGTCTTCATGACCCTAAGGTGACTGTTCAGCTCATCGGTCTGTGTGCGTAATTTTCCATCTTAACACGCCAAATCTTTGCCAAAATTTTTCCTCCTGTTTTGATAGTTCCTGACTGCTTCGTTCTTTGCTGAAAGACTCAGCACGCTTCGACAACGCTAACATCACCACGTTATCAAAGACTTTCTCACTGGGGAATAAGTAGCGATCACTTTCAGGGTCTTGATACACCTCCCTGTCCAGTTCTTTTGCTCGAGTTTCCACCAACCTTGTGTGTAGCTCCAAATCCGATGCCTTCGATCCCGTGCTCGAATTTTTGTCTGAATACGTATCAAACCCCGATTTCCTTATAAAGTTCTCCACAGATGGTTGTACCTTGGAGCAGGTTTCTACGGCAGATTCTGATGCGCTTGATCTTCACATCCACCAGAACCCCCCAGACAAAACTTTGTCCACCTGGTTTTGTTCATCTGCGTCCCTGCTTCCATCAGTGTCCGACTCCCCGGACAAATTTTTTTGTTCCGAGTGTTTCGACTCAACTTCAATCAGTCCTTGGTCAGGCGTATCGAAAGTTTTTCTGAGTCCAGCTCTCCTGCTCCTTGATTTTGCACGATTTTCTCATTACAACGCTTTGAAAACTACGGTCCAACAATCACTTTCTTTTTCTTTTTGCTGATTCTTGATGGTTATATCCTTATTTTCTCATTGACGGTCAACAATGTCATGGCTGGTGCCCAATCAGGATAAACTCTAGTCACTTCTATCTCCAATAGTCCATCCAGTTTTCGAATCACCTCTGATGTGACCTACACCCTGATGTCTTGCAACGAGAGGCTGTTTATTTTCAAACGATACAGTTCCTGTTAAACCAGGTTTGAACGTAACAACAGATCCAAGGGCATTGGGTCCTATTTGGATAGAATCCTAATCTCTGCTGCTTTTTAACAGTTTTTCAGGGTTACCGGTATAGGATGGCCTGACTTACCCATTTATCTATCACTCGAAGTGCTTTGTAAGTCTTTTTGTTTAAAAACGGGAACTCTTCCTTGATTTCTGCCTGATTAGCCTGCTTCTGTTCAAGTCTTTGGTAAAATTCAGCGATCTTGCTGAGGTTGTTGGAATTCCGTTGCTCATCGCGTAACTTGTGTTCAGTTATCATGTGGTGGTCATCCAACCTAAGTTATCCACGACCATGAAAACTCTGGTCCATGGAGCACATGTTCAACCAGTATAAGGCTCGCTTGTCCACTCCCAACTTGAAAAGAGCGCTCCGTAAGTAGGCACTTTAATTTTAATTGAATGTGACCACCGCACCCGTTTCTGCTTTTGGCGCTCAATACTTTATCTCAGTGTCGCTCAATACCTTACGTCCATTCCTGCTCCTGATGAAATGTTCCTAAAGTGGCTACCACTGATGCATCAGTGTCGAGAATGTACATGCCTTTTTCTGTGGGCATTCCTAGCACTGACGCCCCGCTCAGCTCACGCTTTATGTTCTCGAAGGCTTCTTGAGCTCGTTCAATGAATTCGAATTTTTTTCTTTGTTGCTCATCAGCTGCTGCATCGGGTAGACTTTTTCTGCGTAGCCTCTTATGAACTTTCAATAATATTTTGCAAATCCTAGGAAGTTCATCAGCTGTGTGATTTTTCTGGGGGTTTTCCATGTTAACACAGCCACCATTGCATCCCGATCCGGCAGCGTGCCAAGCTTATCCACCATTCTTTCCAGGTACTTCATCAAGTCTGTCATTATGCTCAGTCGAGGTGGGCGTTGCTATCACTACATCATCACTACATAGCACATTATAAGGCTCCATACTTTTTTGTTACGCTAGTTAACACCTGAGCCTAACTCTTATGTAAATCCGGTCTTCTCTCTATCCTTTTTCCGCAGGGAAACCTGCCAGAAGGCAGAACGCAGGTCCAACGTGGTGAAAAACTTGGCGTCTCCAAGTTGTTTTCAGAGGCTTTCGTCTAGGCGTGGTATAGGGTACGCGTCCTTTTTAGTCATCGCGTTTACGTAGCGAAAGTCGCGCAGAATCTCAGTTATCCTCCTTTCTTCTTGGCCATGACAACCCCACAAGCTCAGCGGCTTTGATGGTTTAATCATGTCGCACTCGAGCAGCATTTCTTTTTTTTCTTGCACGCCTCTGACTTATGCGGTGTCATGCACCTCGCTCCTTCCCTATGGGGCCGACGCTTTTTTCCAGTTCAATCTCGCGCTCAAAAAAGTTACAGCAAACAATATCCGCTTTATGTTTTAAAAAACATTTGATCAGCTCGATAAGCTTAAGATCTCATTAAAAACTTTTTGTTTACAGATTTCATTTCACTAATTTCTTTTATACCTCATCATTATTTGCGTGAGTTGGACATCCTTTACTCGATGCTCCTTCAGCTTCGGCGTTTCTTCATAGTCCGTCCTCATCGGTTAAGTGTAGCCAAGTTTCCTTCCACGTTGGATTGAAACCATTGTGTCCAGTGTATTCATCAATACACTCACACACAGCCCATTTCGTGTGACGGTAAAACTACCGCGTAAAATCACTCAATTTTGTTTGATTGGTTTTGGTACCAGGCAAATCTGCCTACTATCACAGAATGGGTTTAACTATCTCATCCTAAATTTCGCTAGTACTGCCTGCTTAGGCTGTAAATTTACCTTTCTGTCTACAAAAAGGTATTTAACTCTCATCAGTTTTTCTCCTATTTACTGGCCGTTAAACATCCTTCCTGTCTGGGTTCCTTGTCCTTATCAGTCAATTACTAAGGTCAATCGTCACGCCCCAATATGAACTGATCCTAATCAACCAGGTTCTCTACCAGGAGAAAACTCACCTACACGTTCCGTCCTCACATTTGGAGGACTCTTATTGGAGTTCTCCCTGCCACGTAGTTGGCTCCGCGACTGGCGTCTGCCAATAAAAAATCTTAAGTCCGTGGTTATCAGGTCCTCCTTGGTGAAGCCCATCCTTTCCCATGTCTTTATAGGCATCAAATTGACTACTGCTCCTGTTTCTAGGAGTCCTGTGACTCCTATTTATTTATTGTCGGTGTCTAGCGAAAGTGCAGTCACATCTGCTTCGTATCCAATGTGGACGGCATCTTGCTCCAGCATGGCGCCTTGACCAATTCTGCGGATTTTCAGCTCTTCCCACCCAAACTTTTCTGTTCTATTTGGTCATTGTCCGTCGTGATGTAGGTCTTGGTATAAATACTAACCACATCCACGTTGAGCATCGCTTGATTTGGTCAGTAGACTTCCACGTAGGGCCCGTGAAGTCTCATGCTTCGAGTGCCACCTGTTGTCAACAATGCTCGCACAGCCCTCGTCTCAGTGCGTGACTCTGCTTATCTAAGATTGTCTGCATAAATGTCCAGATGCATCATGGTGAACTCCGAAGGCTCATTCAGATTCCTGATTACCTGAAGCCCCTCTATCTACCGATATAATCGACTGTATTTGCTACCTTGCTGCAACGCCCAGATATTACATCCAATTTCATGCTCAAGATGCACTGTGCCTTTTTGTTCCATGACGGATGCTTCAAAGGCGTTGAGTTAATCCTCATTTCTCTCGTTTTCCAGTTCGAGCTAGACTTTTTGCTAAATTTCTATGGTTTCCAACTTGATTTGTGGTCAGGGCATCTCTTGCGCTGTTCTATAGTCAAACCCAAAATCTCAAGTCAAACCCAAAAACCGCGTTTTTGGGCTCCGTCTCACTCGTTTCTTCTAGCACGGCCCTCATCTTCTTCGTGGCCAGTTCTTGCGCTTTCTCTTTACTCCGTGGTTTCGCCTCGCTCATCAGGCGTGCGTTGCTGGCCTTAAAGCCTGACAAAGCCTCCTCATGCTTGGCTGCTTGATTTTCGACACACCATCTCAAAATTATGGACAGTCTGATTTTAAATTACCCACCATGTTAAAAATGAAACAACTATGGCCGAATTTTCCATTTAATCTTCTCAAAATCCTCATGATCGATGTCCGACGCGTCTTCATCTTCAAGGCTAAAACAGATTGCTTTAAGGCCTTGTTTATAGCTTGGACATGCTGATACATGATGATTTGCGGAACATCAATTTGTGCAAGAGAGAGCGTCTCTTGTCCATTTCATCCCTGGGCCTGTACCAGTTGTTGACCTGGTTTGCTGGTCCATTGTTAAGACGTAATAATTGTTCTTGTAATAACTTGATCTCATCGGAGGCTTCAGCAACAGGTATTCGTTGAATTTCAGTCGCAATTTTTTCGCCTTTGGTGCATTGGATGAAAGCGGTGAGTAGTGCGTAGCTAAAATTGTCCTGAGCTTATCGTTTTTCACACCATCAATGAACTTTGAAGCTACTGCCAAGCTCATCCTAATGATTGACTCGTCCGGTTGATTACGTCTTCTCATCATTTCCAAATCATCCAAGAGCTTGTCTATGGTTTCATTATCACGTTGTCTTTGTTTCTTGAAGCGCACCCTTGCTTTGTGCCATTGCACTACCGGTTCAACAGTATCTCAAAAATTTTCTCGGCAGTATCCCGCTGATATAATT